GACGGCGGAAGGTGGGCGACGTTCGTATCTTCTTCTTTTTGTGGCTGTGGATGCCTTTCAGCACGGCCTTTTTGGCCTTCAAAGCTTTTGCTTTGGCTTCAGCTTTGGGAGGGGCAGGGGCTTCCTTCTTTGCTTTCGGCGCCATCTTGGTAAAAAGGCTCCCTGCATTCTAATTCTATTCATTTCTGATATTCTCATTGGAAAGATGCATAAACCTAAGTGCTCATGGTATATTGCCAACCCAAAGTCAAACAGTCAGCCAGCATTGTTGACTTGGACAGAGGCACCACGCAGCACGCTGTAGTCCACAGGCTTGTCATGAAATATGATTGTTTCCATTATATCATTCAGCCAACAAGGAACACTGGGCAAGGAGTGGTGACTGCTGCTTGCTATCCTACCTACAGTTCTTTCTGACTCCAATTGCCTGCTTTACACAGTTTTTGGTTCTTTTACAAGGTTAGATCCTCCTTGCTTATGAAAGTTTTTTTTAAAGTATATGTGCTTTTTGATGTAGTTCACATTTGATTGCTATCTTCATGGATTTGTGTTTTTTAAATACATCATTGCTCTTGATAACTTGCAGACAAGATGCAGAGAATTCTGTGGTCATAAGTTCAAGTACTTGGCAGCCTCCACATAAGCCTTGTTCTTTATTCTTAAGTGTTTATTGTTACTGCTGTGTTGAATTTAGCTCTTCATGAAACCCATTACAACGAGGTATGCTGCTGGCCTGTCTTTTCAGGTTCTTGCAGGAGTTAGGACGGCATAACTACGTTACTGCTACTTCTTACCTTGAACTTATTGGCTCATTTCGACAACTTTTGACTAAGAAGCGGCAAGCTATCATGGAAGCAAAGCAACGATACGTAAATGGACTTGACCAGTTAGCTTTTGCTGAGTCCCAGGTAAATCTGATGAGTGGCTGAAAGTGGTAATATGTGCTGAAATAGATAAAAAATAGAGATATATAAAAAATAAAAGTTATCATTTATTGAGGTTGTGCTGCATGCCAGGCTCTATGCTACGTAATTCACATGAGGCCTTCAGTTATTCCTCATAACAATTCCCTGAGGTTATGACCCTCATTTTATAGATGAATTTAGTGAGTTGTAGAAAACTTCATTAAGTTGTTCAGAACACACAAACATATATATTGTTTCGTTGTTTATTTATTTGCTTTTGAGAAATGTAAGTCTGCTATCTTTTTATTATAACAGCTGTTGAATTTCTTGTGTTAGTTCAATCTAACAGAGATTTTGTTGGTTCATTTTTGTGTTGCATACCATACACATAATGTAACAGAGTTGTATAAGATTTTTTTTTTTCCTGGCTGCATTTTTCTCATGACAAATGCCTTCTCCTACTGTTACGTTACGTACCCAAAGAAGAGGAAGTCTTTTGTGAAAAAACTGGCCATACTCATCTTTTTGTCCTCCAAGCTAATGGAAAATTGCTAAGATTTTCTGCTCCAATACTTTTTGACACATCTGAATTCCTGTTCTCTGTGTTTGGAGTCACTATTAGAGCAGCAGAAACCTAATGACAAATTGTCTGTTTAGGTTGGTGAAATGAAACTGGAGCTTATTCAGTTACAGCCCAAACTGGAGGAAGCGAAAATTGAAAATGCATATATGATGCAGGTGAGTGTCCTAAATGTTTTCCAGGAATGTGAAAGCACAACCAAAATCTGTAAAATTAGCCTTGAAAACAAACCCTAATTTTTGTGATTAAAGTCAAGGGACTTTACCCTTTGCAGTTGACGGGATATAACAGTGGGTCCCATATTCATGCAATCTTTTTTTCTGCTTTAAAAAAATTTGTTGTTATTAGTACATGCTTACATTTTATGTATTTATTTATTTTATAATTGGTACAGGGTCTACAGGGTGTACAGGGTTTCACTACATAGATTGGACTCATAGTGATCCTCCTGTTTTCAGCCTCCCAAGAGCTGGGATTATAGGTGCATGCCACCACTCCCACTCTCAATAGGTGTCTCAGCGCACCCCAGGGGCGGGCCCAGCACAGCATGCCAGGGATGGTCACTGTTTTCTGCCTGAGCAGGCGCTTTAGTCCACTGGGCTATCTGGCCGGCCCTCATGCTTACATTTTATAATAATTACATTCCTTGTGAAGAATGAGTATCCATACATAACACATTTCAATTCTTTTTATTTACTCCTTTCTCCTCCCCTCCATATCCCTTCCTTCCATCTCTTGATCCTCTTCACGTTAGAAAAAGACCCATCTCCATACTTCCTGTTATCTTCTTTATTTTGCTCTTTATTTATATTTTGATTTTCTCATATAAGATAACTCATGTGATATATAACATTGTCTCTGTCTGATTTATTTCACTTCACATGATGGTCTCCAGATGAATTCTTTTATTTTAAGGAGATAAAAATTCAAATGATAGAAGGGCAAAATGATTAATACATTGCATATTGTTATCTTTAATTAGTTACTCAAAGTACAAGATATCAGCATTTAATTATCCAAGAAATGTTAATGCAAACTGTTCTTTTAGGGCTGGTGAGATGGCTCAGTGGTCTAAAGCACCTACTTAGAACAAGCTAAGCTAAGCAAAGCACAGGGACCACGGTTCAATCCCCCAGCACCACATGCCAGCCAGCCCCGCCCCCTGGTGGACTGAGCTGGCCACACACACACACACACACACACAAATAAAATTAAAAAAAACAGTTCTTTTCAATGAACTAAGAGAAATTAGGAGTAAACTATCTTAACTATCTGCTTTTCCTTTCTTTTCTCCATCACCTCATCCTAGTTTCTCTTCCCTTTTAAAGCTTCTCATTTTACAATATCTATTGTACATTTTGCATCTTACTTATGCTTTCAGCTTCTCAAACCTGGGTGACAATATGATGTTTACACGTGTGCATCTGATTTATTTCACTTATGATATGGTTCTAAAGTGCATCCATTTACCTATCACAGCCTGCAGTCTATCCTTCCTCATGGCTGAGTAGTACTCCATCGTTTAAAAATACCATATCTTTTTTATCCATTCCTCAGTTGATGGGCATCTGGGTTGTTTACAAAACTTAGCTATGACAAGTTGCACTGCTATAAACATGAATGCACATATATCACTGTAGTATGATGGTTTTAATTCTTCTTGGAAGATCTCCAGAAGAGGAATAGCTGGGTCAAATGGGACCTTCAATCTTAGTGCCCCCACCCAATGTACTGGGGCTTGAACTTGGGTCCCTGAGCTTGCCAGGCAGGCACCTATTCTACTGAGCTATCTCTCTGGCCCCCAACCTTAGTTTTTTGAGGAATCTCTACACTGATTCCATAGTGGTTGCACCAGTCTATACTCCCACCAACAGTGGAGAAGGTTTCCTTTTTTCCCACAGCCCCTCCAGCATTTGTTATTGAGTGATTTCTTGATGATAGCTATTCTTTCTGGGGTTAGATGGAATCTGAGTGTTGTTTTAATTTGCATCTCTCCGGTGACCAGTGATGTTGAACATTTTTTCATATATTTATTTGCTGTTCATACACACTTCATCTGAAAAGTGTGTATCCTCAGATGCCCATTTTTGGAGTGGATGTTTAAATTTGGAAGGTGGTTTTTTTTTATTTCTTTATGTGTTCTTGATAATAATCCTTTGAGGAACATCTGGCAAACATTTTTTCCCACATTGTGGGTTGTCTCTTTGTTCTTTGGTGATTTCTCTTGCTGTGCAAAAGCTTTTTAATAAGATGAGATTCCAGTTATTGATGCTTTGTGATAGTTCCTGTGCAATTGTGGTTTTATTCATAAAGTCTTTGTCTGTATCAATGTCTTCAAGAGTTTTAGCTATACTCTCATCAAGCAGATTTAATGTTTCTGTTTTACTATTTAGATCTTCAATCCATTTTGAATTTAGTTTAGCGCATAGTAAAAGATGTGTCTAATCTTTGTCACGTGGAGAGCTAGTTTTTCCAGCACCATTTATTAGAGAGGCTATCTTCCAGTAAATTTGTTTGGTACCTTTGTCACAGATAAAGTGGCTGAGTATGTCTAGAGTTATTTTTGGATTTTCTAATGTGTTTCATTGATTTTGGGTCTACTTTCTTGCCAGTATGATGCTGTATTTATCACAGTAGCTTTATAGTATAATTTCAAGTCAAGAATTTTGATGCCTCCTGCCCTGGCTTTGTTACCCAGAGTTGCCCTTGCTATTCTAGGTCTCTTCTGGCTTCAAATGAATTTTAGGATTTTCTTTAGTTCTATGAGATATGCTGAATTTGGATTGGAATTATATTAAATCTTTATAACATTTTTGGAAGTATAGTCATTTTCACTATATTAGTTCTTCTCACCTAAAAGCAAGGAATATATTAACATTTTTTATATTCTCTTCAATCTCCTTTTACAGAGTACTAGTTTTCTTTTTCTTTCTTTCTTTTTTTCTTTTCTTTTCTTTCTTTCTTTTTTTTTTTTTTCAGAACCAGGGATTAAACTAAGGCTCTTGTGCTTGCCAGGGAAGCACTTATTCTACTGAGCCATCTCCCCGGCACTAGTTTTCAATGTAGAGGTCTTTTACAGCCTTTGTTAGATTGATTCCTAGATATTTCTTTTCTTTTTCTTTTTCTTTTTCTTTTTCTTTTTCTCTTTCTTTCTTTCTTTCTTTCTTTCTTTCTTTCTTTCTTTTTAATGCTCTTGTGAAAGGTGTTGTTTCCGTAATTTCTGTCTCAGTGAGTTTATTATTTGTGTACAGGAAGGCTATTGATTTTTGAATGTTGATTTGTATCCAGCTATGTTACAGAATTTGCTTACTAAATTCAGCAGTTTTGTGGTGCAGTTTTTGGAGTCTTCTATGTAGAGTATCATATCATCTGCAAATGATGAAAATTTAACTTCTTCCTTTCCTATCATTATTCATTTTATCCCTTGTCTAATTTCTTGTCTAATTCTTGTCTAATTCTTCTGACTAAAGTCTTTAGGACTGTGTTGAATAAGAATGGGAACAGTGGACTTGTCCTGTTCCTGATTTTAGAGAGAAAACTTTCAGTTTTTGTCTATTTAGTATGATGTCAACTGTTGGTTTGTCACAGATGGCTTTTATCAGAGTGAGGTATTGCAGTTTAAGGTGAATCCATTTTAAAGGTGGTATTCAGCCCATTTGCAAGTTAGGTCACATTTATTTGCATTTCTCCTCATTTTATCCTAGACCTTCTATCCTGCAAAATATAATGGGTTTAAGAGTCCTTAGACTGGGTGTGGTGGCGCGTGCCTGTAATCCCAGCTCTTGGGAGGCTGTAAATAGGCGGATCACTATGAGTTCGATCTAGTAGTGAGACCCTGAACACCTTGTAGACCCTTCCCTAAATATATACATAAAAAAGAGTCCCTAATTTTCAAGCATTTCTTTTTCTCCTATGTTTGAGAAGATGATCCGATGCTTGAATAATTATATTTGTTTTTTCTTTATTTCTTCAGGTTATTGAGCTTGAATCTGCACAAGTAGAAGCAAAAAGAAAATTTGTGAAATTAGATGAAGAAATAGCCAGTGGAAAGGCAGAAGAAGCCCAAGCTCTGAAAAATGAGTGTGAAAGTGACTTAGCTGAGGCAATCCCAGCCCTGGAAGCAGCTCTGTCTGCATTGGATACACTTAAGGCAAGTGATTGCCTTGCGTTTCATCAGCAAAATAAAGCTGTGTGCAGGTCTTTGATTAATTAAGGTGTGGTACTATTTCAGTGAGTGGTATTATGTGGTTTTTATGTAATTATTTGAAACTGGCTTCTTCAGTTTTTTGAACACTTTAATTTTTTTTAACTTTTCATATATTATTTATAATTTCCAATCATAATATTCCAGTGGAAATTGAATGAATAGTCTCTGAGAAGCCAAAGTAGTTCTACACACAGACAAGGAGGCAGATTAAAAATGGGTTATATGAGGGCTTGGATTCAACCCCTAGTGCCAAGGAAAAAAAGAAAAGGAGGAAGGGAGGAAAAGAAGGAGGGAGGTGAGAGGAAGGAAGAGAGGAAGGAAAGAAAGGGAGAGGGAGGGTGGGAAGAAGAAAAAAAAGGAAAAGCAAAACAGAAGAGTGTGTAGAGCTACTCTGCAGTCTGTGGACAGGTATGTACAGAAAAATTTAAGTCATTTCCAAAGTCACCATGACTGGCGCCTGTGCGAACCATCCAGTCTAAATAGACTTATACAGAGCGCTGAGGCAAGACCAGAGCAACCTTACAAGACAGAGCAGGAGAGACAGTGCATGTTGATTAGGGGTTCCTAGAGTAATACGAGGGCTCCAGATACTCAGATACTTTCTTTTCTGGTCAAGGTCATAATTTTCATGTAAGAGACATAACAAGACTGTGAACTCAGTGTGTGGGTAAACTATCATCTTACAGGATAAAACTCTGTCAGAATTTCTGTCATCTCTGTAGTAGTTATAAAACAAGGATTATTTTAGAGCATGTTAGAAACTTCTTAGATATCTCACTGTATGATGAACCAGGAATTAAAAGCCCTGAACTTGTTATTTTCTTTTTCTTTATGTTCTCTTACATACCTAAAAGCCATGAACTACTACCCCAAGATCTTTCCTTATTCTGTCGTTAGGCATCTTATCAGCAGCCACTCAATTTGACAGTGCCTTTTTTTTTATGTATTTGGTACAGGGTCTCACTATGCAGCTGACTCATGGTGATCCTCCTGTCTCAGCCTCCCCCATGCTGGGATCACAGGTGTACACCACCATGCGTGGTCTCGTGGTCTCAGTGGGTGGCTTGGTGCTCCCTGGGCAGGGCTGGCATGGCATGTGGTGCTGGAGATCGAACCCAGGTCCTTGTCCTTGCCTAGGCAAGTGCTTAGACCACTGAGTTGTCTCTATGTCCCAACAATGCCTTATTCTTAACAAACATTCCAGTCTAGGTAACCAAGATCACTAATTTAACAAACTGTTTTATCACTATTCCATGAACTTCCAGCACTCCTGCTTCTTTATTTTTTATATATATATATATTTATTTATTTATTTGTATTTTAGTAAGGGTCTACAGGGTCTTACTATGGAGATCAGACTCAGTGATCCACCTGTGTTCAGTGTCCCAAGAGCTGGGATCACAGGCACATGCCACCATGTCCAGTCCCAGTCACCGGTCACTGGCTCACCACATCCTGGGGGCAGTGCTGGCACAGCAGGCCAGGGATCGAACTGCTTAAGCAGGTGCTTTAATCTACTGAGCTATTTGGCTGGCCCTCACTCCTGCTTCTGATACATGATTCTTTTTTTTTTTTTTTTTCCAGTACTGGAGTTGAACTCAGAACCCTCCACTTGCCAGGCAGGTGCTTATTCTACTGAGCTATCTCCCTGGCCACGATTCTTGATGCCTTCAAATCCCACCAGTTCAGACTATTAATCTTAGGTTCCCCTTTCAATCTGAGCCTGTTGCTCATACCCTTCCTGGTATGCCATACTATATCAGATGAGTTAGGGTTCACTTGCAAAAAATCAGGCTGATGCTATTTAATATAAGCAGATAAAAAAATTCAACAAGAATAAATCCTAGACTGAGTCATTAGAAATGACTCTAAAGCCAAATTGTGCAAGTGGCTAATCAGCAGAGCTGTCCTTCTGGGAAGGCAGCCCCCAGACCCACACACTCTGCACTGTAATCCACAGCAGCAAAATGGAGGCCCCACACCCTACCACCTTCCCCATTCAGTGTCTGAATTCTAGTGTCACTCAAGTGCTCTGATAGTCAAACTGAATTCTCACCCAGAGCTTTAGTTGTACTGAAACGATGCCATGTAGTTCTTAGCTATCCAGCATTTGTGCCATTGTAAAGACTGTCAGAAGGATATTGGAATGGTTAATAAGTGAATCTATAGTATCTGCTGTAATAATATAGATAGACCTTGTTAGAAATTAATTTCAGAATGTGGACCTACTTCTTTCATTTTTGTCAATAAAATTAATACTATATGTGAGGAAATAAAGAATTAAATTTTTGCTTAAATTAGGGTTCTTAACCTAAGTTCTATGTACAAGCTTGATACATGCTTTGTATATGTGCAAAACATACATTTGCTAGAGAATTCAAAGCTGTCACAATGAGCCCATGAGGATCTATGAGCCCCCAAACATTTGTGAACTATTAGTATTAACCTATGCTACATTCTCTTTTGCTAATTCTTTCGTACCACGCAAAGGAAAAAAAAGCACAATTCTAAATTAAAGTGGATGAGTTTTCATTCTCCAACATTATTTTTCAAGCTCTCATTACTTAAAGCTAAACTCTTCTGAACACGTCCTGTTTTCTTTTTTTTAGCCTGCTGATATTACAATTGTGAAATCAATGAAGAATCCTCCATCTGGTGTTAAGCTAGTTATGGCTGCTATTTGTGTCATGAAAGATATAAAGCCAGAAAAAATTTTAGATCCTGCAGGAACTGGGGGCAAGGTAATTATCAGATGTGAATTTAAATCATATTAATTGAATGTGCAGGACTTTATGCAGCAGCTGTTATCAAGTTAAATGCCAACAGTACCTAATCCCCAGAAGAAATGGCTTGAAAGAATTGAAAAGATTGAATTTTTTCAATCTTTTGAAAGAATTCAGCATTACCCTTGGCAAGCATGTATTCTAGGGAGTATTGGAAGAAGTGTGGTTCCAGTTGCTTCTGTCTCCTTTTCTGTTTGTGCAGGACTCCAAGTATCATGGAGGTAGAATAAACAAGCAAGGTGATACCTATATTTTTGCAGCTAAGATTCTTGAGAATATGATACATAATATGTAGGTTATGTTTTGGAGCATTCAGAAAATCCTGCAGAGTTAAGTAAGCAGCAGAGTGGTGCCTCAGTTTACAGCTTAATTTGCTTAATTATTAACTTATTAAATTAATTTATTAAGTTATTATTAACTTGTTTACAAACAATTTGGGGGGAAGATGGCTGCACTTGTATGTTTATGTGTGTGGGGGGGTTTGCACTTGTGTTTATACGGGCAAATTGCTTGTGCTTATGTTTATCATCTAATGTAGAGTTTGAGGGCAGAAGCAATTTTTGCCAAACACTGTTGTCTGTGAGCCAAATTGTTTACAAACAGAAGTATTCCTGAACCAAGGTAGTGTGGCATGGTGGAATTGTTAAAAGCACATGTTCTCGAGCCAGAATGTCTGAATTTAGAAATCCTGACCCTGTAAGCAGTATGACTTTGGCCAAAGTGCTTGTTCTGTAAAAAGAAGAGAACCATGTACCCACCTGGTAGGGTGCGGGTAGTTAATACACATGGCAGTGCCTCAGTTCACAAATGCTTCTGTCCAAGGGCAGTTCAGGTGATGAAGAGAAGTGTTCCACAGAACTGCGCTTCCGTTCCCAAGCTCCACATTGGGTAGGTAACAGATGCAGCATCTTCCCCAGAATCGTGGAGCAAATTAAATTTGTAAACAGAGGTGCCATGTATAAAACTCTTCCACATAAAGCCTCAAAAAGAGTAAATACACAATAAATATTAGCTGTTATTACAATTATTATTTAAGTCTAGAGTCCTTAAAAACAAAGCATGACATCTGTCCTTAATTTAGATATATTCTTTTTTCAGGGCTTTGTTATACCTGAGTTTGAATTCCTGAATTGAAAAACTGGTGTGTTTTTTTGTCTGCTTGTTTGTTTGTTTTTTAACTGGGTTTTTTTATTGACTTGTTTGTTTCTTTTCTCTTCTCTCCTTCCCTTCTTTCCTTTGCAATCCTATCCTTCATTGAGATAATATAAAAAATGTGTTCTCATCAAGTTATTCTCATTTACATAAGTTTGTCTACATTGGTGAGGAGATTTTAAAAATGCATGCTAATTTTCTTAATTGAAAGAATCAAAGGCAAAGGAAAATAAAAGTGGAAATAATAAAAATTATTTTCTTTATTAAGTTGTGATGGTGTCCATGCTAGCTGCCTTTCTTGTCTTCAAAACAAATAATCATAGGGGCCAGGGAGATAGCTCAGTAGAATAAGCATTTGCCAGGCAAATGCAAGGGCCTGAGTTCAATCCCTGGTTCCACCAAAAAACCCAAAACAAATAATCATGATTTCTTTTCCATGTTTAATAAAAATTCAGTCTGTAAATTCATGTCCACATGTAAAATAGCTCATAAATTTAACATGATCTAAGGAGAAGAATCATAGTTCTTAAGGAGATATAAGTTGATATTTTGTAATTATTTAAATTTTTTCTGGACAATGTCTTAAATGTTTAGAAGAAGAATTGTACATTGAACATTTAAAATGATACATTAAATACATTTGAATAAATTTTATTTGTAGGTATTAGATTACTGGGGACCTAGCAAAAAACTCCTGGGAGATATGAATTTCCTAAGAGATTTGAAAGACTATGACAAGGACAACATTCCAGTAAGTTACACTAGATTTTTTTTCTCTGAACGTGACTCTGGCAACATGTATAAGATCTTTATAATTATGTAATGTGTAAAACATAGGGTTATAGTCCTTTTTAGGATTAAGGAAATAATAAGGGTTATTACAGGTATTAAACCATTTTGTGAAAGATTGAGATTTTTTTGAGTTTTTGCATGAAATTCATATATTTGTTAACTAGAAAAATTCAAAGAGCAAGAGTTTAAAGTCAAAAAGTGCTATTGTGTTCCATTGTTCGGACATTTTGAAAGTAAAATAAGGCATAAAACCACTCTTTCAGATGATTGGAAAGTTATTTAGTAAATTAATGTTTTAGCATAGTATTGACTTGAAAGAGGTCTCATGTTCTCTTCTAATAAAGTTTACTAAGAATTACTCATATATACATATACCTAAGTATCTTTTCTGTTGCTATTTATTGTTTAATTGCTTATTTAATTTGTTTTCATTTGCTCTCTCAATGTACAAAAGTCTCAATATTTTTGGAAGAAACATCTTACCCCAGTATTTGTAATAAATTTGTGTATTCTCTGACAAATATTACTTGCATTTCTTCTATAATTATGTTTATTTTAAATTATCTCAAAACATTGATTTTAATATGTTTTTTGTTTTTTTCTTTTGAGAAAGGGTCTCACTAAGTAGTAGAGACTGGCCTTTAATTCACTATGTAGTTCAGGCTGGTCCCCCTGCCTCAACCTCCCAAGTGCTGGGATTACAGGCGAGCACCACCATGCCCAGCTTGATTTCGGTTATTAAAGACAACATAACTTTTTATCCCGAAGTTTGTGATACATATTGAAATTTTAAAATCAAAATCTTCATGTCTAGGTGGCTGTTATGCAGAAGATTCGTGGTGAATACTTGACAAACCCTGAATTTGATCCCCGGAAGGTTGCTAAAGCCTCTTCTGCAGCCGAGGGTCTGTGTAAGTGGATCATGGCCATGGAGGTGTATGACAGAGTGGCAAAGGTATTCCAAGGCACACCCATTTTCCACCAAAATAGTCCCGGATGTTAAAACCTACCTATATATATTTACCAGTGAGGAGGTTTCTCAAGGTGATTCCAGGGAGCATTTGTTCTGCTGCAGCAAGGTTATCTGATGTTGATTATGTGCCTAGCAGATGAAGAAAATACAGCTTGCTGGGGCTGATAGAACTGTCCAGACTAGCCCAGAGCCCTCCAGCAAAAGGGAACTAAGGTTTGATCCTGGAGAACAGAAATTTAAAAATTCAAAACATAAAGGCAAAGTAGCAGTTTAAAAAGTTCATTCAGCTTTTTTTAAAATTCTGTATCTGAGTGGGATCAGGTGGTTTTTGTTTTGTTTTTTGTTTTGTTTTGTTTTGTTTTGGTTTTTCTATTCACTTTATTCTATTTGCTTTCTATTCTCTTTTGGTCTTTCTATTCTATTCATAGTTTACCTCACTATGACATCTCTAGGTCCATCTGTGTGCTGAGAGTGACAAAAGTTCATTCTTATGGCTGAGCAATATCAGTTGGGCATAGTACCACATTTCTAAAAATCCCAGTCATCTCTTAATTGTTACTTAGGTTGACTCTGTCTTGGCTATTAGTTGTTTGACATACGAATTTAATTTCCTTGGGTATGTAAGGTGGTTACTTGGTTGTTTAAGGGGAGAAGGGCATCTCGCCCCAGCAAGAATGGCTATTATCAGGAAATTAGCTAATAACAAATGTTGGCAGGACTGAGGGGGAAAAGGAACACTTCTCTACTGCTGGTGCAACCACTGTGGAAATCAGTGTGGACATTCCCCAAAAAACTAAAACTAGAGGTTCCACCAGACCCCGCCACTCCCCTCTTGGGTATCTTCCCAAAAGAATGAAAAGCATCATGCTTCAGTGCTACATGCACACACATGTTTATAGCAGCAGGTTTTAGTAGCCAAGTCTTGGAAATCACCTCAGTGTCCGCCAATCGATGGATGGGTAAAGAAAATGTGCTTTTCTATATATGCAGTGGAGCACCACTCTGCCATAAAGAAGGATAAGCTTGAGGTAGTTCCAAGACAGTGGCTGCAACTGGAGACCATATACTTAAGCGGAATAAATCAGAAGCAGGCGTGTAAATACCGCAT